CTACCCCTAGCGACAGATAATGGACAAGCCACAGGGAAAAAATTCCACACACACCCCCCCCTTTACCAAGTCCTTCCTTTCCTATAACCCTACCCCAGTCTGCAAGGGACAGTGGGCTTTAGCTTTCTTGCTGGAGACCATCTCCACAAGTTTCTCTTCCTGAATAAACTGTGCTGAAGGTAAGCCATCTCTTTGTCTACCTCTCAGTGCTGTTCAGTCTAACAGGCAGGACCCTTAAGAGTGGGCTTCCCTTTTGGTTCAGTGTTGGCCTGAGGAAGATGGGATGGTTGGGTAGGTATTTATTCTAGTCTTTCATATACTGTTTTGTATTTTCATGGATGCCCGACTGTATTCAGTTTTTCTTGCAGTAGGTTAAAGATGATAAAGCTCTGTTTTACCTACTACTAATGTGATCACTGGTTCCTGATCCTCCCCTTCTCGTGTAGACCTCTGTCTCAAGAAAGCAAGTCTTAATGCCTGCCAGAACATAGTTAATATGACTTATTGACTCCATTAAACTTTTTAAAACTTAAAAAAAAAACACTGTATGGTTTACTTGGCTATATTTTTTTTTCCTTTCTCGGTGCTTTCTTTAATGGTCAGCCTGCAATTAGTATCATTTGAGACTCAGTGAATTGCAATTATAACAATTCACTGCTTTTATGTATCAGGTATGTTACTTACATAATCTCATTTAATCTTTCTAGCAATTTTGTAAGGCCAATACTAATATTATTCTGTTTCAGAGATGAGAACAGAAGTTCAGAGACAATGTACCTTGCCATGCCTACACAGCTGGTAAGTAGTAAAAACAACATTTGAACCCAAGTCTATTGACTCCTGAGCTAGGATTCTTAATCTCTGTACTCTGCCACTCTAGATCCAAGGCCAATTAGCTTTGCTCTTACAACTTAATGTGATATTCTAGGACTATAATTACTATAAAAAGAGGAGAAAATGGTCATCTCCCACATCTCTACAATGAGATCGTCTTCTTTGAATTGAAAGACTGAAGTGTATTATTTTAGTTCTTTCTTGGGGGTGAGGGAAGGTTTGAACTTAGGACTTCATGCTTGCAAAGAAAGCACTTTCCTGCTTGAACCACACTTTCAGTCCACTTTGCTCTGGATATTTTGGAGATGGGGGTTCAAGAACTATTTGCCTGAGATGGCTTCAAACAGGGATCCTCCTGATTTTAGCCTCTTAAGTAGTTAGGATTGCAGGTGTAAGCTGCCAGTGCCCAGGAATGTATTGTATCAATTCTTTAGCCTCAGGTGTTAGCTATAGCAGGACTGTACATTTATGTGAGGCCTCTTGTTATGAGCAGGATGTCAAGCATGGAAGCCAATTATCTTTGCATATGTAGTGACTTGGGAACAAACTAAGCCAATATAGACTAACTGTAGTACCTGTTGAAAATCTAGCAAAGGACTAGGATGGTCTGGCTTGGAATTAGAGCTCTAATGAGCAGAAAACATATGCCAAATAATAAAGTATAGTCAGGAGTACACTTCTCTAAATTAACTGCAGATCAGTTAGCAAGGACTTCAGAAGACAGATAACTTAGTTGTACCAATGGATTCTAAGAGGAGAAAATTACTGGACTTTTACATGTCCAAGGATAGTAGCTACCAATATCCAACAGGCACACTCAACTGTGGACAGTAAAGGAGTTTTTCTGGATTTAATTAAGAAATGAAAATATGATGATGGTGCTCTCTTGACAAAGAGAAGAGAAAGAGTGCTTATGTGCACAAACTAGAGGAAGTACAAATTGATGCAATCTCTGAGGAATAATTTGGCTGTATCTACTAAAATTAAAAGGACAGACACATATCCTTTGATTTTTTTTAACTTAGTACCTTGCATCTGCTAGGCAGCCACTCTACCACTTGAGCCACACCTGCAGCCTTAAAAAGACATATATCCTTTCATCTAGCAATTCTACTTCTAGGTTTTTATCTTACAAATATATTCAGATATGTGCATAAGGATATAGGTAAAGATATCCATTGCAATATAATTTAAAATAGCAAATATTTAGAAAGAGTCTAATAATCCATCAATAGAGACTGGCAGATGTCATTTCTTCAGGAAGTAATTTCTGGACCTCCACCTTCTGCCTTGGGCTTAGTACTCACTCTGTGCTTATAAGCACCTAGCATCCCCTGGCTTACCACTAATAATGAAGGGATCCATTTATTCATTTGTCCACCTCTGTGAGGTTACTATTATTTCCCTCATTTTGCAGATGGGCCTGAGGTTGTGGCTCAGTGGTAGAATGCTTGGTTGGCGAGGGCCTAAGTTTGATTCCCAGCACTGGAGAAAAAAAACAACTGTGGATGAGGACACTTGGGCTCAGAAGGCCTGTACAGCCTTCCCATAGAAGCTGAAGTAGAAGAATATTCAAAGGCAGAGAGACATGGTATGTTGGCAAAACAGCAAGGGGTCAGTGTGGCTGAGTGGTTCTGTGTGCTGTGATAGGGAATTTGGACTTTAACCTACAGAATTTGAGTCAGTCTTTCAGGGAAGGAGTTGTAAGTGTAGAACCCAAAGAGTTCGCCATTTTTCAGAGTCAACATGAGAAACTGCAACTCAGGAAGGACAGGATCACAAAGTAAGGTTGGGATCAGTATCCTTTCTGCTCTCTGATAGAGGACATTTGGGTTCCATGACTGGTATCTAATGTGGATTGCAGAACAGGTTTGGAGTTTGAGGCCTGAATTTAAGATACAGAATTGACCAGAGGATCAAAAAGAAGCAGCTTCCTCCCCATGTATCTCCAGCATTTTTCTGCCATTCCTGCCTTGTGGAAATGAAATGAGCTCTGAGATTTCCCTTGGACAGCCTGAACTAGCTAAGTCTCGTTTTCCAAAATGCATGTTGGAACCTCAACAGAAGCTTGTTGAGGATGAAGCTGTTATTCCCTCAGGTATTCCTGGGAGATCATTAGCAGATATCAGAGGGAGTGCTCTTGATCCTGCTCTCCTGTTTGAGTGCTGGGAGAGGCACAATGGAGTTAATAGGGCATAAGTCAATTTTCCTATCCTCTCAGGAAAGGTGAGTCATGAATAATTTTCATTCACATCAAAAAGTTCTTCATCTTCTTCAGGGCAAGACGGTAACAAGAATGTTGCATTTGCTTACAAAATGTGATGAAGGAGAAACTGCCACACTAGGTCTCTTTTGAGTGGCCATTCCACTTTTTTTGCTTCCTTTAAAAATGATCAAATGATTTTTTTAAGTGATCTGAGATACTTTGATTACAAAACTTCTTGTTAATGCCAGTCACTTCCTATCTAGATTAGGGATGGCAGAAACCTTAAAGGAACAAAATTAGAAGAGGGAAAGAACCTGACACTGGGATAGGCAGTTATCAGTGAAGGCCTTCTGGGAAGAGACTTATGACAAGTAAGATGAGCCTGCAGTAGAAAGCTGGAAATAAGAACCACAAAGACCCTTGTAGACCAGGTTTCCATTATACCAACCTGGGAAAACATTTAATTCTGAGAAGATATTAAGCAAGTGTCTCTGAGATCAGTCCTGGGAGTTAACAAGCAAGGGTGATGAGGAACCTGCCACAGCGGAGGCCCAGTGAAGAGAAGAATAGAAGAAAAGACACCAGAAGCCATAGCATAGATGTGTGCAGAGGAGAAAGAGGGTACAGAGAGCACTCAGGAGATAAGCACACTAAAGTGACCCAGCAGTAGAGAGAATAAAGTGACATTATGTGACAATTACCTGGGAATAAAAATATCTGCATTTTTCTTATTGACTATCTTTAGCAAGGGCTAAATTATGGACTATTGTCTTTGTAATAAAAAAAAGCTCTACTTTAATTTTCCATCTGTGTAAACTGTCATTTCAAATACAAAACTACATAAGTACCACAAGAATTAATTTTGAAAATATTTATAAGCTATTTTGGAGCTTTAGAAATAATTTCTGTTGGTAACTGTTTCTTGTTCTCTGTACCAGATTTAAAAAAAAAACAAAACCCTTACAATTCTGTGATATTTTCTTTGTTCTGCAGCATCATTAAAAGAGTGACAGTAGATTGAATTGTTAAAAAAAAAAAAAGTGTAGACCTAAAGAGAATGAGACCTCCTGAAAACTAGTCATACCAGCCTGCAGAGAGTTCCAGGCTCCAGTTGTCAGATAGAGGACCCAAGAAAGTTGATCTGCCTGAAATTGAAGTTAAAAATGGCTTCTAACTTTCCTTCCTTAATGTGCCAATAAAGTCTTTGTGCACGATAGTGTATTGATCTGCACATGAGTATATATAGGTTAGTGTTGGAATGGATTTTAAAGACAAAAAAAAGTTGCAAAAAATGAGAATTCATCTTATGCTTTCCTTAAAAAGATTTCTCAATGCAAATGGTACCGCCTACTTATATTTTTTGCAGAAGTTAGTATGGTCTGCCTACCTGCTGCTCCCAAAGTCCATCAATCTGGCAGAAAGTGCATCTGAGGGAGTCTAAGAGAACTATGACCCTATGGTCAAGAATGAGAGCCTCACACTTTTTCCCTCTCTAAAACTAAATAGAGCTCAGGACTTTGAGAATGTAAACTCATCAGTAATAAGACTGGAAGTCTTTTTAATGTTAACAGAAAGTAAGTTCATTATGAATAATTACGACTTGATCTTAAAATGCTTTAAACTCTGCAGTGACTTCAATGAACTTAATTACCAAACCATTACCTATGCTGTAATAACATACTTGCTAGGCTCACGTGAAGAGCTAAAGGTGACTAAATTCACTTCCAAACCTCAACCGCAAAGTAGTAAATAATAGTTTTCTACTACTGAATTCTGTGAGAAGGTAGACATGGAAGAGAATGATTGTGGTTTACAAACTGCTGTGTAAGGTCAAAATTGTCAGCCACCACACTTTATGGGCGTTTCTTTAAAAACCACAACAAAATGAGAGAAAGGTCTGCGGTGGGCAAAGCAGGAGAGGCCCAGGGGAAATGACCTTGGAGAAGGGACTGAGCCACCCCCTCAGCTCGCCACAGGAGTGGTCTCTGGGATTCCTGGGTTCTCGGAAAAGTGGATAATGGGGGTCTCAGGTGTCTCCATGAGCTCCGGGAGACCCTGGGGCTCCTTTAATTCCACGACCACCCGGCTCAGAAGGCGTTTGAGCAGCTGCATTTCTCGGAGCAGAAGGTCCACGTTGGGTTTCAGAGCTCCTGCCGATTGCTCCAAGGGCGTCGGCGGAGCGCAGCCTGGTGACCCAGCGGTGGGAGCTCTGCCGGCCCGGAATTGCGGCCCCGGTGAGGTGGTGTTCGGAACAGAGGTGACCGACGGGACCGATCTGGACACTGGAGGCTTTCTGAAGGAAAGCGGCTTGTTACCCGGCGCCAAAACTGCAGGCCTGTGCTGCCGGGCAGTAGAGGACGTCAGATCCAGGGGAGAGCCTGTGAATGCAACGCACCGAGTAACTCGCAGCTGAAATCGTTGGCCCCTGGCGCGGGGCTGACGGGAGGCCAGAGAGAGAGAGGCCATCGGCGCTAGGAGGGATATTGGGGGATGGGAGACCCGAGCAAGTGGACTGGGATGGTGGAGACCCGAAAGGCAGCGGGGGACAAAGGAGAGGGACCAGAGCGACCGGTGGGTGTGGAGAGGAGTAGGCTGCCCGCGGGGGTGGACGTCTCGGGAGCGCGTGCGGTCACTCACCCGGCCCCGGGAGCTGCAGCCACGGGCTGCGTTTCCGGACACTGCGGGTGGCGGTGGCCGCCTCGCACCAGTACGATTCAAGTTCCTCGACCTCGGGCTCCGGGACCGTGTACTCCGCGCCCCAGTCGAAGCGGCGGACCGGGCGACTGTACTTGTAGAAGGCGAACTGCAGCGGCGTGCCGCGCTTCTGAGGGTGCAGGCGGGTCTCACAGCGCAGGACCACCCGGCCGTGGGGCGCGGCGCGGGCCTCCTGCGAACCCATCACTCTCAGCACCGGGGTCACGAACAGCTCTGCAGAGGGCGGCCCACAGGCCGAGAATGCTTTTTGGGTCCGCGCAAGGGGTGGGGCAAAACAAGGGAGGAACCAGGACCCCCGTCCCTTTCCTTCCCTCTCCTTCCCTTTTCCCGCGATAGCGCCTCATCAACCCGGGGACCATGAGGGCTTGGGAGAAATATGTATGTACAAGTGCAAGTAGGGAAGAAAGAAAGCCTTCTAAAATGTGGGGCAAGAGGACCAAATCCACGAGGGACGGGGACAGCTTGAACTGAGGCAGAACCAGACCAAACGCTTCATGTTATAACCCAACTGACACCCAGCTTGGATTCTCCAGCCTTAAAAGGGGAACGCTACACCTGCCTCGTGGGACGCTTGAGAGCCGGTCCCTCCCTGGTCCCAGTGACGTAGCATCTTTATCACTGTAGCCGCCCTTCTGGCTGGGGCTGTGGTCAGAGCCCTAAATAGGGTCCCCAGCCACACCAAGAAGCCAGGCTGTGTGTAGGCCGGGGGAAGGGACACCAGCCTACAAGCAGGCTGTAAGACCAAACCTCATTGAAGCGTTCGTGGCTGGCAGAGAAATCTGCCAAGTGGCACCTGCTTGAAACCCCTCTCCTTTTCCCGCCAGATTCCTGCCCCAGAATTTCCCAAAGTTCTCATTTGCCTCGCTGCGGGACCCCAGGTCTCCCCCACCTTGCACGGTCACAGCCACCTTAGCGGAGAACATGGGCGCGCTCTCCACCGGAATGCGCATGGTGCCGGAGCACTGGTAGCGGCCACTGTCGCTGGCACGTGCCTGCAACACGGTGTAGTTGGTGCTGGAGTGGAAGTAACGCACAGCCTGGCCGTTATGGTAGTAGTGAAGCTTGTAGACGACTTTGTCGTACCAGCCACGGCAACGCATGATCAGCGGTTCGCCCTCGAACACCGCAGCATAGGGCACCTGCAGGATCAGCCAGTCTACAACAGACAGGAGCAGACACGGTTTATTCCACAGAAAGTTCAGCCTGCAAGTCTCCCATTCTCAGCCTCCCTGCTTGCCTCCCCACTTCCATAGATGCTCTCCCTCCCCCCCCCCCACCAAGTGCAACCCCTTTCTGAGATGGCAGGTCTTCCCGTTGATTGGCATTGGAAGCCTCCTCTCATTAAATAGAAGGTCAGAAAGGGGAGGAAGGAGAAAGACCGGTGTTAGAGAAGCAAAAATGCACCACACTTGTGGGATTCCAGCCTCAAAGAGCACTGCTCATCAGAATCAAGTTCAAACTCCTTAGCATGGCTTCAGGGCCTTCCTGACCTGGCCTCTACTTCCCTCTCCAGCACCCTCTCAGTACCCTCCCCCACACACTCCCTCCTTCACCCCACTTCTTTACCTAACACAGGCTAAGTTCAGTCATACTGAACTGCTGAGAGAAGTGGTCCTGCCCAGAGCCCAGGGCCTTTGTACCTGCTATTTCCTCAGCAAGAAGACCCTCCTTCACCGTTTAAGTTGAGGCCTCCTTCTCTTGCATGTCTAGGTTTAGACCTTATCTCCTGAAGAATATTCCCCCATACTCCTCACAGTCTTAGGTATCTCCCACAGCACCCCATGTTCAGCCAACCACTATGACCATACTAGTCCTACTAACATACTAGATGTCATGTTAGGTGTCATAAACTGAGAAGGATTGTTTCTGCAAGGAGCAGCCACAATCTGTGTGCTATACTTAGTCTGAACTGAGCAAGTGGTATCTTTGCCCTCTCTGTATCACTGCTCTCTCTAACAATTCCCAAACAGGAAACTTCACAGTCTGAAAATGAATATGAAGTGTAAGCACTCATTTGAACACTGTATAATATCCTTTAATTCTGAATATAAATAGCAGCCTACCAGACTAAGATTATATAATATTCCTTATAAACTAGTCAATCCCGTACCTTAATGAACAAATTATTATTATTTTTCTTATCCTGTTTTGAAACCTTCCAGAGTCAGTTTCTCAATTAACTTCCATGTATACATGCCTGTAATAAAACTTTAAGTACTCTGCTCAGTTGCTGCTTTTTTCTTTAATAACATCATAATTCATTATTAATCCTCACAACAGCCAAAGCAATAGATACTTTTATTGTCCCTACTTTACTGATGTAGATACTGATGTGCAGAGAGCATCACACTGTCAACCAAGAGTAATTCGGAGCCTGATGTGGTGCACACACTGTAACCTCAGCACTCAGGAGGCTGAAACAAGAGGACCTTGAGTTCAAGGATAACTTGAGCTACATAGCAAGACCCCATCTGAAAAATAGAAGTAATTCTTCTTGCTTAGCCTGTCCAGGGACATTTGCTTTTCCTGCTTTGCTCTGCCATTTCCTGCCTATCTCCTCCCCTCCATCCCCCACCCCTGCCCCAGAGTCCTCTGTCCAGTGTTCCAGGGCCTTAGAGCCTTTGTTATTCTGAGCTGGTTTGATAAACAGAAATGTTTGCGGCAGGAGGGCAAAGGGGATCTTTGTGGCCAGGCATGTCTTACACAGTGGCCTGCAGGCCCCTGCTTACTCCAGATACTCAAGATAGGTCTCAATATGGCTCTTGTTTCCTGCCCTTTGGGAATGGCCCAGTGTTCTCCCCCACAGAAGGGTCAGTCTTCCCAGGAAAGTCACGTGCTTTCCTTTCCCCATGCTCAGACTACTCACCATTAGATACAGAGAGCTGGATGGGGTCACTGACAGGTGCTCCCCGTGTCTGGCATCGATACACCCCTGGGGTCTGTACCTCGATGCTCTTCTTGTGGGAGGGCAGGAGGAGGTGGCCCAAATACCAGAGAGTGTTGATGGGCCGGAGCTCCAGGAGCAGAGGGTGGTATCCATCACATCGCAAGGTTACACGCTCCCCCTTGAAGATTGTGGTCCAAGGTGGGTGTAGAGACAATATGGGCTTCTCCAGAGTAGCTGGGGGTATGTGGGAGGGGGCAGTGTGGGAAAGCGAAGCAAGGGAAGATTTCCAAAGATGCAGCCTAAGGTTGGGAAATCTTAGAAAACCCCAGTTTTCAGAACCCTACCCATACACTAACCCATCCCTGCAAGAGAGGAGACCACAATCACTGGATTACAAACCATCAGTCCATTAGTCAGTACCCATTTCTAAGTACCTATGAGCAAACCTTGGTCACAGATATTGACCAAGAGGGGGAAGAAAAATCATTCCAGAACAGCCAAGAAGTGAGGAGTTTCTTAGGGAGAGGAGGGTTAGAGTGGAGCTGTAGAAAATCGGGATGAAGGATGAGGAAGACTCACCAGCTTGCCCACTGCTTGGAACTGCAAAACAAGAGAGGAAGATGGAAGTGATTGTTCAAGATGAGAAAAAAGAAATTCTTGACCACAGGAAAAACTGAATGATCTCAAAGCCTGTTTTTTCTTCTTCTAACTCTAGTTACCCAACTTTAGGAAAGCCCCCTCCTCTTCACCTTCCAAAATAGGCAATGAGCCATCTAGAACCTGAGGACTGAATAGCCACCTCCCTTACCCCACACACCCTGCTCTGCCATCCAAAGTCCTGCTGCTGCTGATGCCACCTCATGTGGGACTCACCCAGGAGCATAAGGGCTGCGAGTGTCCACATGACAAATCTGCCTGCTGCAGCTGCAGAGAAATGGAGATGTGCTGACATGGGATTGGGGGCAGAGAGAAAGAAGGTGACCAGTGGCTGACCACTGACTACTAGGAGGCATTACTGCTTCTCCCACCCATTCCAATGTCCTAAAGATGATGAACTGGAGAGAGCAGGACACTGAATAGGTGCCACCCAACATCATACAGAGTTCCATTTACCATCTATATAGCCGCCTCCCAGCTCAGGCCAACCCTAACTCCTGCAGAACGGGACCACAGAGTATGTGCCCTCTACAGCACAAGAGATCCACACAGAACCCCAGGCTCCAGCAGATGACCCTTTCACCTTCAGTTTCCAAACAATATCCTTCTCCCACTCCATGCCCTCCCCACCTCAACTGAGGAAGACACATCCTCATGTCCAAAAGGTTCACCTGGGCCTTATTTCTGCTCCGTCCCTTATGACAAACATGGCGCAAGGCCTAGTAAGGTCAAGGTTGAGCTCCAACTGGAGTTCACATCCTCCCGCAAATGAGTAGACAGAATGGCATGACTCACCAACCACCCTTCCATGTCCCTGCTGGCCCATTCCCCAAAGACAGAAATGTCTTTTCTCCTTCTTCCTTCCTTCCTGAAACCTTAAACTTTCAGAAATTAGAAAACTCTTTTTTCCTACTCGCCTCAATATTTCACCTTGTGACACCACCATCCATTTGTTCCTTTCATCTTTCTTCCCACAAGGACCTGAAACCCCTCCCCCACCACACCTCAGTCCCGGGGACTCCTGACCTGGCAGAGAAGTCATGGCTTCAGCCTCCCACAAGCTTTTCAGATCTGACTTCTCAGGTCTAGTTCTTGTGCTCTCTAAGCCACGTGACCACACTTGAGCAATAAGGGACCTGGAATTTTCATGTAAATACTTAATGAAGTTTCCAACCTGATAATATGTCTCCTTGGACTCTCGCCTGTCCTCATCTGTTGATGCTTAGAACCAGGGCACCTCTTTCTCTTAGAACTCTGGTAGGAAAGAGATCAATTATCAGACATGGCCAACTCTCATTAAGATAGCCTCCTTCTTTTTTGCTGATACATGAAGTTCCTCTCTGAGAATTCCCTAGTATTTTAGCTTATGGTGTTATTTCCTGGTCTCTTCAGATACTGTTTTGGGAGCAGGTCCCTCCACACTTTGTCCTGAGGATCAAACCTGGACTTTGCACACCCTACTTGAGCACTCCACTACTGAGTTATATATCCAGTCAACTGAGAGCAAGTTTTGATAGAACACATAGTCACATGTACGTCTGAAAAATAAGGAAGAACTGGATAAGTTGCCAGAAGTGGGGGAGGGAGAGGATTACTAGATATGGGGAGCAGAGATGATCAACGACCTGCTATAGGAGGCCCTCAGGCCCCAGCCAGGCAATGCTACCCACACTCTGCCACAGCCTGCCCCAGTGCTCTGACTTTTGTTCCAGGCCACTCACTGCCTTGGTGATTAAGAATGCAATGCAGCATTCTTAGTCAGTTCTTTTAATCTATTCGAATGGACTCAATTTTGGCTTCTTATCACCCAGAACACATATGTCAGCCCTTTGTTTATCTAATCTTTCAGGGAAATCTCAAGAATCAACCATAGGGATCATTATCATACAGAGCTCAGAATTTGAACTAAAAAATACCCTGTCCAACATTTCCTTATTCTAGACTTGCCTCTAAATTTTCCCCAAATGTATCAGTTTCTCCATCCAGGACTCTCCCCTTTTTGACCCCACTACACACACACACACACACACACCCCAGAATTTTAATTCTTCACTTCTATGTAGGAGAAATTTAGCAATTATTGTTACATGAACAATTTTTTTTTTTTTTGAGATTTGATCTTACTATCTTGCCCAGGCTGGTCTCAAATTCCTGGATTTAAATGATCCTCTTCTCTCAGCCTTCTGAGTGCTGAGATTACAAGAATACAAAGCCAAGCCTGGCTTTGGTAGAGTACCTAGCAAGTGCAAGGCCCTGGGTTCAATCTCCAGTACCACAAAAACAAAACAACAACAAAAACAAATAAACAAACAAAATCACCAGTCCTGGCTTGAGAAATTCTTTGAAGCCCATCACAGTGTAATTTCTGGACAATCCATTTGATACAGATTCTGGTAAATACGCTCAGGGGTGATGGTGACAGTGGGACAATGCTGTGTTGCTGACAACAATAACCCCAGATCACTTTTAGTGGGTGCCCTAGTACATGGCAGGTATCGTGCCAAGAGAGTTGCGATTATTACTTCAGTTGTCCTCAAACAGGCCCTCTGAGGAAGGACATTGATCTATTTTTAAGTATGAGGAAACTGAGGTGGCAGAACTCAGGATGCCTTGCGGTCTGAATAGAAGTTTGTCTCACTTCAAAATCTGTTCTCTTGTCTCTCCCTTATCAGGGATTCAAGGTGCTGCTGGGACAGGCTGTCATCTCTGGTCTTTATGAGGCCAACTCTTGTTTTCTTATTTTTCTACCATCATCCACACTGCTGTTTTCCCATCTGTAATACCCCTGTGCAGTACTTACTTCATGTTCCTATGTATGTGTATGTTCAACCTTGAGAACTGCTTACTGTCACTCATCTCCACAAATAGTTTTGTGCTCTAAATATTATTTTCTCTTCAACTTTTAAAATTCAATCCCATGTACTTAAGATTCATTCATATTGCTTTACATAAGTCTTGTATTTTTGCTTCTGACCGCCCCGGAATGCTTCCACTATATGCCATTTTTCCATTCCCTAACACCCTGGCTGCTGCCCAACCATCTGCTACCAGGAATGATGCCACAGTGAACTTGGTGTTTATTGTAAGGACTGAATGGATGACTACAAGAAGCCTTAGAACAAAGTGTGGCATATTGGAGTATTGGAGGCTATTTGTAAATTAGCGCTAATGAAGCTCCCTACAGAATAACTGAAGGGTTTCCATGATATGTACACCTGAGACCACAGGATTATGGTCATGAGTTTCCTGCATACTCACTCCAAAGTCTACATCTAATCCATTGACAAGTCCTATCGACTCTACCTTCTCCATATATCTCCACCAACTAGCCAGACAGAAAATGTAAATCATGTTGTGTTACTCTCCATCAAAACTCCCAAAGGTGCACTCAGTAGCTATGGATCATTCATTTTTACTGTTTCTTGGTATTGCATTCTGTGAAAACAGCACAATTTAGCCATTTTTGTATTGTTGGACAGTTGACTCCAAAATTTTGTTTTTACAAACAGTACTACTATGAACATTATCATGCCTGTCTTCTGATAAACACATGCTAGACTTTCTCTTGGGAAAATACACCTAGGCATAGAATTCTGGATGACAGGATATGCAAATAGTCAACTTTTCAAGATAATAGATGTATGTGACATAATAAGTAACATGTTTTAGCTGGGCATAGTTGTCCACATCTATAATCCCAGAACTAGGAGGAGGAGGCAGGAGGATATTGAGTTTGAGCTAGCACAGGCTACGTAGAAATATGCTTTGGGCTCTGCCTTGGTTCCTGAAACAGAGGTCCTAACACCCTGAAAAATGTCCTGAGTGATAGGGGTGAGAAGAGCATGCTTTGATTTTTTTTGTTTGTTTGTTTGTTTGTTGTTGTTATTCAGAACACCCTTCAACCATTCTAGAGTTTATGCTAATAAGGCAACTTTTGAGAAGATGGGGGCTGGTGGTCAGAGGAACTGACCCTGGGATGAAAGGGTTGGAACTTTTAGCCCCATTCCTGAACTTCAGGAAGAAAGATGGGCTAGAGATTGGCTTACTCACCAATGACCACATGGAGATGGTGGGAGGGTGGTGCACCCAGAGAGAAAGAGGAAGCTCTGGGGCACCTCCCCACATATTTGTCCTTACCTGTGTGTTCCTTGGATGTTAAGTAAATTTATACACTTGGATGAAGAGTACAAAAATGAAATCCATTTTGCCTCTTTCTGATCCCTGATAGCTTTTATTGTCTGTAAGTAAATTCTCTGTTGAGGCTGAGCTTGCAGGATGCATTTGTAAAAATGGGAATATTAACTGAAACCATTTCCCTGTAGTGCAGCTATAACACAGTATCCTTGAAGATATAACAAGCACAGTGTATTGGCAATTGAGCTTCCTTTTTTTTTTCACATGTGCCAAAGTCATGATATTATCCCTGGTCATTTCTTGCAGCTTCCATTCATACAACTGTTAGTCAGTCCTCTCGGGCTATAGTAACATTTATAGACTTCTACCAATTCCTAATTGCCTCTTGATCATTCCCCTTGAAGTTACTAGGAATCACCATAAAATTTTCATTCTACCATCCGCATAATTCTATTCTTTTGTTTCTTTGTGGCATGTCTGAAATGATCATATACACACTCTTTATAAATCATTGCAGGTTAAAACTGTACAGAATAAATGACACAAATCTAGGAGCAGTGTTCTATTTCTATAATTCTAACACTTGGGGGACTCAGGCAGGAGAATCTTGAGCTTGAGGTCAGCCTGGGCAACACAGTGAGACCCTGTCGCAAAAAATGGAAAAAGGAAAAAAAAAAAGGACAAAGAAAGGCTACAGTGGAAAATACCACACCACATAATTCAGGATAACATGACAGAACATTCATTGCCTGAGGCCACGATAAAGTGGTATGCTAACTCATTAGCCAAAGGCTGCCTTTGGTTGAGAATGTACAATAGTAAACCAAGCATAGAAAAAGTATGCAATACAAAAATAGACTCATATATATTTTTAAATACTTCAGAGACAAATGAATTAAAACAGATATTCGTTGCTCTGGCAATGTCATGCTTGATCACCTGCTTCTGAGCCCCATAAGTCCCTGTAGAAAGTTCAACTTACGTTGTTTGAATTGTGTTACGACTCACAGGTATTACTGCACCTTTACCCAGAGTCTAAGCCTTCTATAGACAGAGACACTGTCTGAGGGCTTTTTTTTTTTTCTAGTTTGAGACCAGCTGGCCCAGGCTGGTCTTCAACTAGAAATCCTCCTGCCTCAGCCTTCTGAATGCTGGAATCACAAGCATGTGCCACCATGCCCAGTTCTTGAGAATTCTTAACATAGCATAAATCACACCTTTAGTAGAGGCCAACTGCTTTGGTCTGTTTGAGTTGCTATAAAAGATACTATAAACTGAGTAGCTTGTAAACAACAGACAATTATTCTCACAGTTCTGGAGGTTGGGAAGTCCAAGATTAAGGTTAGTCAATAGATGGAGTGCCTGGTGAGGTCTCACTTTCTTTTTTCACCCATTTGAAATATCTTTTTTTAAATTTAATTAATTTATTTTTTATTATCATTGTACCGGGGGTACAGTGTGACATTTACAAAAGTGCTCACAATGTATGTTAGTGAAATTCAACCCTTTCATCATTCTCCTTTATCCCCTCTTCTAGAATATCTTTTGGATTGGTTTTGTTGGCTTCAAGTCTGATCTCCTTTAACAAATTGCCCAATACTACAGTAAGATGAAGTACATATAAAAGAGAAACATGAAGGACACAGGTAAGGTATTTGACAGAATTCTTAGAATAGGAAACACAAAACAACCAAGCTATTCTCTTAATCAGCTGTTCAGTCTTGTGATAGCAGTTGGCTAATGAATCTTTTGGTAATGCTTTTAAAAAGCAGGTAGGTGTTGAGCTAGCTTTGTAGCTGAATTAGATATGGTCCAACATGATTCTAATTCTTAGTTGACTCAGATTCTATGGCTGACCAGTTGTTACAAATAAGAACACTTCAACACTTAGAGCCAATCTTGATATTCTAGGCCCCATTTCTTGGTTAGTTAAAATCTAGTCTTTTCTTGGAGTCTTCCCAAACATTTTGAAGAGTCCCATGTCTTATGGATGCATGTAGGGCTTACTTTCTGGTTCATAGAGAGCACTTTCTAGCTGTGTCCTCACATGGCAGAAGAACAAGCCTGCTTTGTGGTGGTACTTTCATAAGGGCACTAATCCCAATCATGAGGACTATCTTCATTTCTTAGTCACCTCCAAAAGGCCCCACTTCCCTAATACTATCCATTAAGGTTGGGATTTTGACCTCTGAATTTGAAGGGAGCATAAACATATAGATCATAGCACCAACTAAATACTAGCAGGTAACTAATACTTGCTGAAGGGGGCTGGGAGGGGAGAGTAATTAAAAGGCGAAAAAGCTCATCTCAGTCTAACAGCTAGCTTTCGTTATGATGACATTTCTCAATTTCAGCACTGTTGACATTTGAAGACAGGAAGGCTTTTGTTGAGGATTAGGCCTGTCCTGTGCATTATAGGAGGGTCAGCAGCATCCTTGGCTTGTAAATGCCTTGACTTACTAAATGCCAGTAGCACACATAGCCCCCTCACCCTGGTGAGGACCCAAATGTCCAGAAGAAGCTGCTAAATATCTCCTGGTGGGGTGGGGTGGGGTGGGGTGGGACTGACCCAGTTGATATTGCCAGATTAAATCCACCTCCATTGTTTTCCCTTTAAATCACCAGGTTCTGGGCAGGGCAACAGAAGGAAATTCCTGGTCTACAGAGTGAAGAATTACAATGTCACGTTAAAAGAGAACACACAATTATAGCTAAACTTTAATTATCGCTTTGTACACATTTATTTATACTCACCTATCTCCATTATACTAAACAAAACACTGGGACAACTTGTAAAACTATGTATATGTGCAGGACAAAAAGAGTTGACATTATTGGGGGTTGCTGAGCCATATCACGGGTGAAAGGTGTGCTTTCATTTGTCAGGAGTCTTTGTGGTTTCAGACTTCAGGAAGCCAGACAATTCCCTCAGCTCTATGACCAGGTGACCGAGGAGAACTCTTACATCCTGCATGTGTTTGAGAAGAACGCCCATCTGGTGGTGCAGGTGCGGGTCTGGGGAGAAGCCTTCATGCTCAGAAGGGGTGGTGAGTGGAGGTAGAGACTCAGAGTTCTCTGTAGGAGTTGGTTTTGGAGCTGTTGATTTCTGAGAAGCTGGATTATAGGTGGAAGATGCAGTAGAACTGGAGGGTCCTAGATTATGGAACAGAAGGCACATACAAGAGTGAAATGGAGGAGCTGGAGGAATGGTTCAAGTAGCAGAGCACCTGCTTAGCAAGAGTGAGGCCCTGAGTTCAAACCCCAGTACTACCAAATGAACAAAAAAAATTAAAGAGCAGTGAACTGTGACTTTGACCCTCCCCTCATACCAATCTTTCTTGTTCTCTGAAAGTGACTGTAGGGCTCATTGGTAGCATGGGTTTAAGGACTATAGTATCCCTCCTAATCCAAATTTTAATCTGAAACCTAGCTGTGTTTGAAAACCTTTAGAGATGAGGTGTCATCACTGGACAGAAATTACTATTAACTGATTCTTCCCTTTCCAGGCAGAATCTAATTCTCTGAAGCATGGACATAGTACCTGGTCATAGGTCAATCTTTTTATTGTGTTATAATTCTCATCCTTGTGTCATCCTCGAGCTTTTGGAAGACATTTGTGCTGGTCCCCTGAGTCACCTCCTTTTCAGAATGAGCATCACCAATTCCTTTCATTACTTTTCATCTGACATGGCTTCAAGTCCCTTCATCACCCTGGGACAATTTCTCTGGATGCATTTCAGGTCAACTATATCCTTCATAATGATAGCTTTTAGAATTTAACAGACTCCATTCCTCCTTCTAGATATTATCCTCATTCTAAATATTATATTCCTATAAATGCCCAGAGATGATGTAGCAATCCTAAATTCCATGGAGCTAGTTTATGCTGGCAGAGTGGCTCAGATGGTAGAGTGCTATCTAGCAAGCATGAGGCCCTGAGTTCAAACCCCAGTACAACACACACACACAAAGTTTTGGGTACTCATGGAGCTGGTTTAGGTCTTGGTTTGGTGAGGTATGCACCATGTTTCAAAGGAGAAGTTCTCTATTTGTGCTCTCTTCATCATCAGGGACTCTGGCTTATTGTTCCTGCCTCTCCCTGAAGCCCAGATGATGGAACCAGTCATCCTGTTCTCCCTTCCCATTTTCTCTCTCTCACATACACACATACACAACAGACACATACATGCTAACTCACCCTGTACCCTGATTTCCAGCTGTGGGCTCTGTTTCCAAACTTGGCCATCCTCAGTGGCTGCCTCACACCAGTAGGATCCAGAATGCTCTTCTGAAGCTGTGGGGATCTGGAATTCTGAGGAGAGTCCCCTGCTGTGCACTGTCCTTCCATCCTTGTAGAAGAAGAAGAGGAGGTGGACAGCTGACCTCTGCGAGGACAGCTTTGTCTGACAGTTTAGGGTCAATGGGCCTCCAGTTTGGGGCTCTGCTGAGGGCAAGGCTTTGAGAACAGGGGCTGGAAACAGTTCTGGAGGAAAGATAGGATAGGCAAGGAAGAAGAGGTCAGTCATCCTATACTTAGATGGACCCATGAGAGACAAAGTATCCCAATACACTTCTTTTCCTGTTTCCATCAGGAATGGGCTTTCTTAGGCCCCATTTGAGCTTTTCTAGTTTCTCTCTTTCTCTCTCTGTCTCTCCCCTTCCCTCCCTCTTTCTCCCTTTCCCTTTGTCCCTCTCCACTCCCCTTAGCAGACAGGACTAGAAAAAAATCCAAAGATGGACAAATCTGACAACAATCTAGACAACCAATCTGTGAATACCCAACATCATAGAGCTGGGTAGTAGAAAACACACTGAACGCTGAGTTGGGTGGGGCTGAATGACCTGAAAAGGCACATAGAGACACTAACCCTCTTGAAACCCATGAGCATTTGCCAGCAACCTGCTCCTTAAGGCTTCAGTGATTTCTCCACCTCCAGACCAAAGAAAGACAATTTTGGGCTCCCAACCCACCTCACCTGATTCAGCCACAGCCATACTGCCTTCTCCTCCTCACCTTGGACTGTGATAGCCACAGTGGGTGCTGTTTCTGGGCTCCCAGGACCAGGGCTCTTGAAGATGCCACTGCAGTGGTAGTGCCCACTGTCTGCCTTGTGTACCACAGCAATGGAGAATTCCCTATTAGGTCCAGGAGGACCCAGAGCTGAGCCATCTCGGTAGAAGGTGACCTGAGTCAGTGGCCAGTCTTGCCAGGCCCGGCAGCGCAGAACCAATGGGTCCCCTTCAAATATGGGTGCAGATGGACCTTGGAGGATCAGCCAGTCTGTGGCCCAGAGGAAGATTTGAGTGTCACCTGTTTGTCTCTTAGGAGCTCCCACAATGATGCCCACAACAGACTCCCCTAAACTTTGTCTGAAGGTCCAGTAACTCTCACCTCTTAATGCCCTACCTTAATGGCCTCTATCTCTGCCCCTGAACTTTCCCAAGCAATGGCAAAGCCCTTTCTCACTCCCCATCTACCCCAACCATCTACTCCCAGACTATACTGGTAACTGTGGAGCAATTCTTTCCCTTCAGGCTGAAGCTTAGAGTTACGGATATCTCACCACATCTCCTCAACCTATCTCTTACCTCCATGATTGACCCAGTGTGGAATATGGAACAAGTTCTGTAGTGCCTAGGACTGAGGGCATCCCAGCTACTGAGGGTTGCTGGTGAAGAAGAAAGTACCTCAACCCATTGCCAGCTTCCTGGAGGGTAGTTTCTTGGGTGGGCTATGGGGCTAAAATGGGTTTGGAACACTGGTCAGGCCTTCCCAGGACCTTACCATAGGACACGATCAGATGGAAGGGTTCACTGAAAGTGTAGCCCTTGATCTGGTAGCCAGCTTCATTTGGATTGGTCACATCTTCATCAGTGTGGCGTCTACTCTCCCCAGGGCTGACAGGTCCTTCACACTGCAGAGTCTCAAAACTGGCAGCTAAAGAGGGATGGCCCAGGGAGAACCAGAAAATGATGCTGCAACTTAGAGAAAGAGGACGAGAAATCGCCCTCCACAAAGGTTCCTCCTCTTCCCTGGGAGAATCATCCTTTTCAGAGTGAGACTAGGAAGATACCAAAACCTTCTACCCAAGAGATCTCCATCGGTCTTCAGAGGGATGGTTTGAAGGTGCTCTCAGTAAAAGAAATGTGGTTTAGGGAAGAGGAAGAGGAAAGAATGAAAGGTGAACACAGCAGCATGACATGCAACTGTTGATGCTGGAAACCAGAGGCCGAAGATAACTATGAGTGCAAGACAGAAGGGAAACATGGACATCAGGTTTTTTAATTTTATTTTTAAACATTCATTGGGTGTTAACCATGTACTACACATTGCCAGCACTTTCATGTATTATTTTATTTAATTTTTACAAGCTTTGCAGGTATGTGACTTCACCCTCATTTTACAAATTTTAAAGAAACATCTTTAGAAAGGAAATTAGCACACCTGAAGTTTAAAAAGAGAGTGAAGAATGGAGCAAGGAAGTCAGGTGTGTATGAGTTCAAAAGGTGCTCTTTTTACTTCATTATGCGGTTCGCTTCAGTCCTCAGACCTTCCTTGGGAATTTTCTTCCATATTCTCATTTTCCCAAAATTTACTTGGCTTTTCAGACTCGAATATATTATCTACCAAAAAGCTTTCAGTACCTGGCTGAGTCTTCTCCTCCCTTTCTGGTCTTCCTAACTCTAGTGTACTCTGCCCCTCAAACCTTCCCTAGTAATGGCAGAGCCCATTCTCTGTCTTCGCCTCTACTCCTGACCCCACCCTCACCTCAGACGACGCTGATAATTCTGGAACAGTTGTTTGCCTCTGGTCTGAAACTTAGAATAATAGATTTCTCACTGTTTCTCTTTAACCATTTTCCTACATCCATGACTGACCCAGGCATGAGTTGCTCACAAGGTGAGTGCCATGTTTCTTGTCTCTGTGACTGCTCCTTGTCCCCCTTAGTCCTGCTCCCCGTCTTCCAGCCACATGGCCATTCATATATGCTCACTTCTTCACTCCATCCATTCCTGTCTTATTTGCCTTTATTCTCCCAATGACCTAAGACTTTTCTTTGACTTTGTAACTTCCCTTATCAAGGCTGCTCTCTACTTCCTAGTTCTTGCCAGTACAGAATGTTTTCTTTAGATTCTCTCTCAGCTCCTTCATTAATCTGCTACCTCTTTTCAGTTCCTCCATTATACTCAACTAGACTCAGCCTCCTTTCCTTTTTTCTTTTTTAAAAGTAAAACCAGGGCTTAGGGCACAGCTCAAATAGTAGAGCACTTGCCTAGCATGTGCAAGACTCTGGGTTCAATCCTCAGTGCTACTAAATAAATAAAATAAATAAATAATAAAAACTTGTTGGGCTACAGGCATTTATCACTCAATAAAATTTATGTGGCAGGTATTATTCTCATTTTATAAGTGAGAAAACTGAATTTAGAGATTTCAAATACCTTTTTCAAAGTAATATAGAGCTTTTAGTTAGTAGCTAGAAGAAAAGCTTAAAACCACACCACCCGATTCAAAGTCTGCAATTCTTGCCACAAAAACAAAAACAAAGGTTGCTCCTGATCCCTCATGAGGTCTGGGGCATGGCTCAAGTGGTAGAGCACCTGACTAGCAAGTGCAAGGCCCTGAGTTCAAACCCCAGTATTGCGAAAAAGAAAAAAAAAAAAGACCATTTAAGCACAAAGGAAAGAAATAAGAAAGAGAAAACATTGGCAATCACTGGAGCAGAAATGAGGATTCAAGGAAGGCTTCTTGAAGAAAATACCACAGAGGCTTAGTCTTCAGGGATACCTGGAAGTTTATAAGGGGGAAGAGGACTAGCAGACCATGGAAAGAGTTCACTTCAGGTAGAAGTAGCAGTATAAGAAAAGCCTTGGAGTCAGGTAAGAGTCTGGGTATGAATGTGTGAATGTAAGTTACAGTATTTATTAGCTCATAAGATGCAAGGCTCAGAGAGAGGCAGTAGAAGGCTTCAGAAGACTGAAGAGCCTTGATAGGTTCCAGGATTTAGTAGGCTCTGAGTGCCATGACAAGAAGGTGGACCAACAGACTTGAGTTTTAGAAACTACTCTGCCTGCAGATGGAATTCATTTCAAGGACACAAAATTGGGACAAGGTGATTGATTAGGAAGTTATTGCACTAGCCCAAGTCATAGATGTTGAGAGCTTATCATAGGACAGCATTAGTGATGTGTCAGAGAAGGAAATGGCAAAGAACAATTTAGGGATCAAAATTTGCCAAACTTGATAACCAGTCAGATATGCAGAATGATGGAGGAGGAAGAGTCCAGGTTGTCTCTTCATAGGCTTCTGGCCTAGAGATCTAGATCAGTTAATGCTGATGCCATTAACTGGGATCAGAAAATGAACTAGAAGAGATGACAGGTGGACATTTGTTGTATTGAGATACCTGTGAAGTATGCAGGTAGATATGCCTTGAGTGAAGCTTAATATTGGAATGTGAAGGTCAAAGGCATGTTTACAATCGGAGATATGATTTGGGACTCTTAAATATACAGTTATTATGATAAAAACTATACATAGCATAAGCTCATAGAGGAAGACTATGTAAAGAAAGAAGAGTAGAGGGGCAAGGATGTAACTATAGAGAACACAGTGTTTAAGGAGGAAAGAAGAGAAGCTACTGAGGGACCAATAGAAGTACATATAGTACAGCCAGATGCTGGTGGCTCATGCCTGTAATCCTAGCTACTTGGGAGACTGAGACTGGGAGGATTGTAGTTCAAGGCCAGCCCAGGCAAATAATTTGGGAGACCCTCCCCCCACCATCTCCAAAATAACTAGAGCAAAATGGACTGGAAATGTGGCTCAAGCAATTGAGCACCTGCTTTAGGAGTGCTTACTTTTCAAATGTGAAGCCCTGTGTTCAACCCCAGTCCCAGCACAAAAAAAACACATGAAGTACAAAGAGAAATGGTAGCGTGGAAGCCAGGGGATTAGAGAATGCAAGAAGAATGAGCAGCCAACAGTGTCCCATGCAGCAGAGAAGTCCTGCAGGATAGGAACTGAAGAGCACTCAATGACCCGGTCAATATGGAGGTCATTACCTCCAGTGCAAAACTGATTCCAGTGGAAGCCACGATGCAAGCCTTGAAAAGTGAGTGAGAAGTGAGGAAGTGGAGACAGCAAGTGCACATTACTCTTTCATGAAACTTGTATCAAAGCCAAGTATGGGGTGCATGCTTGTAATCCCAACACTCAGAAGGCTGCAGCAGGAGGATCTGGAGTTTAAAGCCAGCTTGGATTACATAGCAGGTTCCAGTCTAGCCTAGCTATGAGAACCTATCTCAAAATTATTTTTAAAAATATAAAAAAAAAGAAACTTGTTTCAGAAAAGTAAGAGTTAAAATTGTAGCTAAAGAAGACATCATAGTCAGAAGAGAGTTTTAGGATGAAAAAAGACTTAAAGAGTTTTATGCTCAGAAAGAGCCATTCAGTCCTACACATCAGGCATTCTTATACCTGAACAGTGACTGTTTGAAGCATCAATTAGCCATATTTCTTACCTTTGGGTCTTTTCCCAAAGTTAGTCATATTTCCAGTCCCACACCGACATCCAAAGTTTTACTTACATGGTAATATCTGGGCTGCCCAAAGTATAGCTGCAAAGATGTAGAGGGCCAAGGTCCTAAGGACACAGCCCAGCTTCATGGTAACTGGTTAGATCTCCTACAACCCAAACACACTGATTTTCTTCAACACGAAACCTCTCAAATTAGAAAAGAGGAAGTAAATCTAACTGTCTTCTCTCCATGCACCTGTCATCAAGTTCGTGATTGGCTTTCATCATTCAGATTTGGCCAGGTTGGTTCCCACCCTATCTGCATCCTTATGATTGTGGTGAAATCCAAGTGCTCTCAATTGTTCAAGAATTTCCTCACACAGCTGGACATGGTAATGCACAACTGTAATCCCAGCCCTCAGGAGGCGGAGGCAGGAAGATAGAGAGTTCCAGACCAGCCTGGACTACACAATGAGACTCTATTTTTAAAAAAAAAAAAAATTCTTGCAGAGCTCAGAGATCTTTCAAAACTTGTAATTATCTAGTAATAAAATGGCTCTCATGTACACTCTGGGAAAGGTCCATGCAAAAAAAACCCAGGCATCTCACTGGTGAAGCAACTGGGGGAAAGTGATGGAAGAAAATCACTGGGGAATCAATTTTCCTGCCTCATCCGGCTCCACGGCTCCATGGCTCCACGTCTTACATGTTTGCAGTGACTAGAATGTAATTAGACAGAGGGGGAAACTATGGGTAATGGCACCAAGGCAGATATCAGATTAGTCCCTACTAGGCTCTGATCATCCAAAGCCCAATGAAATTTGTACACAAATTTCTCCAGACGCAAGCTCTGCTGTCTGTTCCTGCGGCATGATACAGGCTGTTCAGTCTCAGTGGAAATCAGTAGAAGGCAGGAAGAGTCCCCTGAGAAAGACCAAAGGAGAAAGGAAAATGAGTTTCCATTGGCCCTAGCAGTCAGCCAAGGCTTAGGAGGCTCACGGCCAAAGCTCAAGCCACTGATCCTGAAGAGGCACCTGATAGCCTCAGAAACCCGAGGATACTCAGGACTAAGCAACGTGAGGCAGCTCTCCTCAGTCCAGGTGGCCTCAGGGGAACTCTTGTCCCTGCCCCAAATGTTTGCTATTTGATTGAGGCCTACTCAATGCCAGGGCCGGGGCCTCTTTTCACAGGACCCCTCTTCTCCTGTCATAACATCTGCCAGGCCCACAGTAGGTTATCTGGAGGTGAGATTGCCATCAGAAATGGGGGAAGTCAGTCTTAAAGGCAGAGGGTGGGACAGCAGGACCATTCAGCTGTGCAAAACCACAGCTAGGGCAAGACACATCAGCCTAAGAGAGTGAATCTTTCTTGATCTAAAATAAGAATTTAGAATAAATTTTCCATTATCTGACAAGAATATGTTTCTGTGCAGAAGGCCCCAGGGAATCCAGACGGTGGGTGAATAGGGTATTGGGAAGGCAATGGGGCAATGAGCCTTGCATCTGATACAAAGTGAAAGACCCAGCAGCCTCAGAAGAGGAAGAAACATCCAGCCTGCCCTAATATGAATTTCCTTCCCCTGCCTTCACCATAAGGACTCACTGAGAGAGACTTCCCTTGTGCTATCTACATCAGCCCTGGCAGGACCTCGCTCTCACTCTCAGTACAGAAAGCAGAAGGGCTCTGAAGATCTGGCCTGGAGACCATGGTCTTCACACTTTAATCTCTTTCTCTCTCTCTTTCTTGTTTCTTGGGCCTGGGGTTTGAACTCAGGGCCTCATGCTTGCTAAGCAGGTGCTCTTCCACTTGAGCCATGCCTCCAGCCCTTTTTGTTTTAGTTACTTTTATAATAGGTGTTTTTGCGCAGAACTGGCCTGCAGTCCTCCTACCTACAGCCTCCCATGTAGCTGTGGGTCACCCTGCCCAGCCTATTTGTTGAGATGGCATCTCACTAGGTTTTTGCTGGGAATGGCCTCAAACTATGATCCTCCCAATGTCTGTCTCCCAAGGAACTGATTTCTACTTGGTTTTCATTGTGGTTGTAGAACATCATCTGTATAATTTCAATTCTTTTATATTTGTTGAGAGTTTATTTTGACCCAGGATATGATGTATATATTTATGAGCACTTGAAAAGGATGTGCATTTCACTGTTTTTTAGTGGAGTGTTCTGTAAATATTGATTAAATCATGTTAGCTAATGGTCACGTTGAGTCTTCTATGTTCTTTTCCACTTTTTGTCCAGTTTTCTATCAGTTGTTGAGACAGGAGCATTGGCTCCTCCAACTGTGATAGTAGATCTGTCCATTTCTTTTTACTTCTATAAAAAGGAACAACTCTGTTTTTTGGTGCATAAACATGTAGGATGTCTTTTTTGGTGGCTGGACCCTTTTATCATGCCACAAAGCCACTCTTTATTCTGCTCCGAAGTCTGCATTATCTAATTTGTTTGTGGGTGGTGGTGCCACCATATTTTTTCTCTGTCACTGCTGGAATTGAGTATCATCTACATGTTTCTACATGCTGGGCTGCACCCTTCTCAGTTCTTTGGCTAGACATAGCTGGCTTTCACTGGGGCTTTTTTCTTTTTTAAATTTGAACCTTTGACATTTTGGGATTTCTGGATTTTTTAAACCCAGATGTGGGATAGATGAGGCAAAAAGAAAACCCAAGGAAATCACCACCATACCGTTCCTCAGGTCCCAAGGTCCCTAGCAGATTTCTCTCCATTTTTACCATCACCTTGGTTTTGTTTTATATACAATATCCAGAGTTTTTAGCTATATTTAGCAGGAAATATAGGGAAAAGTACCTCTGCTACACATTCCCAGGAGAAGCCTGGAAGACGTATGTTTTTAATATACATATTTAAACACGTCTTCCTTTTGTGGGACTGGGGTTTGAACTCAGGGCTTCATACTTGCAAAGCAGGCACTCTACCACTTGAACCACACCTCCAGTTCATTTTGCTCTGGTTATTTTGGAGATGGGGAGTCTCCTGAATTATTTTCTTAGGCTGGCCTCGAACCATGATCCTCCTGATCTCAGCCTTCCCAGTAGCTATAATTGCAGCATGAGCCACTGCGCCCAGTTAAATTTAAATTTTCTATCAATACATAGAATGTGTGTGCTATAGCAATTATAGTTACATTTTCCCCTTGAATTTGTTGGGGAGGGGAAAACACCCTGAAGAAAATAAATCAAACCATGAAGAGAAGTCTCTCGGTAGAGAAATTATAGATTATTTTTATGTCTTTATTTCCTTTTGCTGTGTTGTCTACATTTTCTATAATAAGCATGCACCATTTGGAAGTTTGAGATTCTTATTATATTATTACTAAATAAAATTCTGTAATTTCTATGTCCTTTCTACCAGTAAAATTGAGTTTTATAGGCTTTGTTTTGTTTATGGTGCTAGCCAATAAAATTGCAGGCTCTAAACCTAAATTTTCATAACTAATAAAAAGGAGTCTCAGAAAGAGCTGTCCCAGCTCCCTTTAATCATCATCCTTCTGCATCATAAAGCTGGTTCAAGAATGCTCCTGAGCTGGGATGTAGCTCAGTGGTAGAGTGCTTGCCTAACATGGGGAGGCCCTGGATTTGATCCCCAGCACCACACACACACAAAAGCACTAACCAAAATCGCAAAATCAGTACCCATTCATGATTTTTAAAAAATCTCAGAAAGCCGGGCGCTGGTGGCTCACACCTGCAATCCTAACTACTTAGGAGGCAGAGATCAGGAGGTTTGTGGTTCTCCAGCTAGCCTGGAGAAATAGTTCGAGAAACCCTATCTTGAAAATACCCAACACAAAAAGGGGCTGGCAGAGTGGCTCAAAGTATAGGCCCTGAGTTCAAACCCCAGTACTGGAAAAAAAAAAAAAAGCCAAGTCTTAGTAAAAAAGGGAGTAGAGGGAATGATGATAAAGATTCGAGCCAGCCTTGAGCTAGCTGATACTTAACAGTGAAAAACTGCAGCTTTCCTCCGAGATTGGGAGTAAGATGAAAATGTCTGCTCGTCATTCTTACTCAACATACTGCTAGAAGTTCTAGTCAGTTCAGTAAAGTAGGAAAAGGTATAGGTAGTGGAAAGAAAATACATTTAATGCCTCTATTTGTAAATGACATGATTATCCATGTAGAAATCCCAAGACTCCATTTAAAAAAAAAAATCCTACAATATAATAAGTGAATATCCAGCAAGGTTGCAGTATATAAGCAAAAAGTTTTTAGAAATCAATTGAATTTCTACATGCTAGTAATGAACACATGGACTCTGAAATTAAAAACACAATACCATTTGTAATCACTAAAAATACATAAATATTAATGTATATGCATATAGGTTTATATGATGAAAACTACACAATACTGATGAAAGAGGTTTTTCTTAACCTAAATAAATGAATTAGAAAGCTCAACATAATAAGAAGTCATTTCTGTCCAAATTAGTGTACAGATTTAATACAATTCCTATCAAAATTCTAGCAAGATTTTTCTATAGATTTAGACAATATTATTCTAAAATGTATATATACAAAGGCAAAGGAGCTAGAATAGCTAAAACAGTTTTGAAAAAGAAGAATAAAGTAGGAAGAATCAATCTAGATGATTTCAAGACTATGTAACCACAACAATCAAGTATGCATGAAGCCAGGTGTGGGGTGCATATCTGTAGTTCCAGCTACTCAGGAAACAGGAGGATTCCTTGAGGCCACATAGGGTTGTAGTGCATTATGACATTCATGTGAGTTTTGGTAGTGGGATTGCTCCTCTGAATAGCCTCTGCACTCCATCCTGGGCAACATAGAGAAGACCTATCTCTTTTTTTAAAATTATAAATAAGAAAGGAATATTATTCAAGATTTAAAACTTACTCAAAAATTGGAGACAGGCTGGCAGAGTGGTTTAATCAGTAGAGAATACCTGCCTCACAAGTGTGAGACCCTGAGTTCAAATCCAATACTGACAAAAAAAAATGGAGAGATTACAATGCATGAGATAGAAAAGAAACAAAGGGAAAACAATTTTAAAAATCTGAAGCTAACTCTATAAAAAGACCAATAAAATAGACTTTTTTTTAAATACTGGGGTTCAGACTCAGGGGCTTGTGCTTACAGTGCCTTACCACTTGAGCTATGCCCCCACCCCTAAAAGACCTTTAATAAGACTGGTTAAGATAAGTGATATAGAGGGTGGGATATG